CTGGCTGTGAGGAGAGTCAGCTCTGTATGCAGATTTATTTCGTCAATATCTCACAGAAGTACTCTAAACTTCTTTTTTTTCCTTATTACTGCACTTCTAGAATGAAAAGATGGATCGAAAGAACTACATTGAAGGAGTAAGTATTGTAGCTTTTTCATTGAATTCGCCATCGAAATGATAGGAAGAAGTAGGTCCAGATTCCCACAATGGACTAGGAGTCCATCGAAGACGAGTTGCAATAATCCCAGGAGCTTTTCGCCTTACGAATTGGGTTCAGTTCCGGCATGTATGCACGTCAGTTTCACGTGTATGTTAAGCGTTTTTACGCAGCCAAGAGACGATGTCAATCTGATTTACAGACTGATTTACAGGATACATGCATTCACAGCAGACCATTGTGCCTATCCCTCGGTGAACATTATCAAATTGTTAATACTTCTTGCCTCGTGTGCTTTTCCTTTACATTGGTAAATTCTGATATAGCTTCAATTCTTATAACTAATCTATATGGAATGGTACACTAATAAGAGAGGAGAAGTCCTAATTATGATCATGGGAGTTTAGGGGTAGCATAACACCCTCCACCTCCCACTAAATATCCTACTGGATATCGCCCACAATCGCCTTTCATCATGTTTTTAACAATTGGTATAATTCCCTTTGGCTCGATTACTTCCGCTCACTCTGGTCTGGTTTTCCTCTGCGCGAAAGGAAGATTGGGCTCTGAGAAATGTAACCGAGCCTATTTCTATTTCAAGTTGGTACAGTTTTTTGTGCACAAGAAGTGTTTTTAGTTGGACACCTTTGAAAAATATTTGCGAATTTGAAAATCTTCGAGGTGAAGCTAAGCGAAAGTAATTTAACGTCACCTTCCATTGTGACAGTATTATGGAATATTGAATTCATTCTCATTGTGTTTGTCAACAGACCAAGGTTTTGGCCGCCTACATGGAGAAAATGGCCAAAATAGAACGAGAAGCTAATCCCGTTGCTAATGGAATACTTTGAAGTAGCTCAAGATGATTGCTAAAAAAATTCAGTAGCGTGTGAAATTTCCGTCCGTAACATAGATTTCCCCGCCCCCTTTGATTGGGCGATAGACTACATACAAAAAAAGTTAAAAGTAAAAATTTGTTTTCGATTTCCGACAGAAGCATTAAGAATCGCCCTTCTGAGAAACGACCCGTGGACTATTGTCAGTATCTGAACGACTGCGCACCTACCCCTCCCTAACCTAACATTAACCCTAACTTGTTATCAATTGACTATTGTTAAGTTAGGAGAGGGTAGGTGCGCTGTTGCTTAAATACTCGCGTTGATTCCGAATTTGCTTTGACGATGCGATGCTTTAGTTTATATGAGTAAGCGTTGAATAGATACGAACACTTCTGTTTAACGGCTAAAATCATAATGTAACAATAAAACATACACTGTAGCAAAAATGAATGAAGATTAAAGAGAAGAAAAGTGGTACTTGAACAATTGTCTCTCAGAAATACTGAATGCAATCATAAATACTATATTTTTAAGTGTAAACTTCCTTTGATTCTGTAACAAATTCGTAAACTTGACTATTACCCTAAACCCACATCAGTAGGTTCATTTCTTTTTTCATCGCGTAAAGTGGCAGTGGACTAACTTAGCGGATGCCGCAGCGATTCTCGCACCAAGGGGTCATTTATTACGATAGAAACCCGCTAAATCGAACTCGGCTAAATCGAACTCCCCGTTAACCCAGAGAAGATCTGATTTCCCTTGACCTTTTTTTTCAGTCAATACTCAAACCCCCGCAAACTCGAACCACTCTTTGTATCCCTTGGGAGTTCGAGTCAGCGGAACTCTACTGTGGTCTTCGACGCTTGGGAATTGCACCCACCAGAAAAAAAAAAAGTTAGTGATGTTCACCATTGAGAGAGAAAACTTGTTTACCACTTTTTTTCAACTTGTTGCAGTAAAATTTTTCCCTTGTCTTTCCGTGGACAATTAATTATCCATGAATGGCAGGTCTCCGTCACTAGTAAAGGTCGTAAGCTGGCATTTCAGTTTTAGGCAACACTAGGATCAGAAGTTCTTGTCATATTTTGCATCTTTACCATCAAGCTAAAGTTTTCCAGGGAAATGTTTTCACGGAAAACGTTTCAGGTTAATCAGCTTTTTATAGTGATCTTGGGACAGCCTTCTGTTGCATGAACTCTGAATTTTTTCCCGTAGAAATCTTTGAAGTTTTTGAAAAAATCATCGTATGTCTTCCTTCAGAAATTAGCGTTCTTTAAAGAAAAATCCGTAACTAGTAATTCGAAGGCAAGAAATGTCAATCCTCTTTTTCTTTCTTAGTAATCTCCTTGTCGACACAAAAGAGAGAACCAGACGAGAAGCCGTCTTAGCTTATCTTAAACCAAGATTGACCAAAATCGCATCAATAACAATAGAAAGCAAACAGAAAGTACATTTTGAAAATATAGAAGATGTATTAGAACTCTTAGTGTCTAATATCAAAGCAGACAATGTGAAGAGTTCATGTAAATAACATCAACTAGATTTTGTTTTGTTTTGTTTTTGATCGCAAATTAAGGTCATATGCTTTCTAAAGAATTGGGAAAGGCCTTCGATTGATATCTTTTACCGACAGCCGGAAGGCGCAAAGGTATTTTCGAGAGCGCGAGCCAAAATCAACCTAAGAACAGACGGGCTTGTTGAAAATCAGAGGTCGCTCACACATGATACAGAACCTATATACTGACAACACAGCCTGGGAATGTGCCGGGCGAGTTCTCTAAATGCTAATCCTATTTCAGATCAGAACATGCCATATCCACCCCGTTTGACCTCTTAAATGGATACTTGTCTTTAGACCTTTACAACCGGTGCCGAGATTAAGAATTCATAGAATTCTCCAAGTTTTAGCCCGAGTGATAACCCTGGCTACTTCTTTTTCTTTATTATTCATTATGGAGATGCCGATACGTTTTACACGTTCTCTTGATAACCTAGCACAAGTTTAGACCTAATGGGTCAAAATCTATATCCATTTCCAAAATTAAACAGCTCAAATATCATACACTTCATAGCGGCGCATTCCTGTACACTTCCCGCCCTCCCACCTAGACGACACGAACTCATCTGTAATATTGCCTTAATTGCTTGCTCGATCTTAGCCGGGTGCATTCTTCACTCCGTAATTTGAATTTTTTTCCTTTTTTTTCTTCAAAATTACTGAGTGAGGAAGACGCCACGCCTTTATGGCTTCAATTTAGGCATTTTTTTTATTTCTATACTGGAGTTCATGTATATTTTTTCACGGTTGTTTGAAAATAGAAGCAAATAAAATCTGAAAAGAACTCTCCGCTCTTTACACCTTGGGTGTTCAGTGTCTTGAAACAATATATCAACGCCTCAAAATTGGTGACCAGATTAGCAGTGACGCATAGTTATTGTATCGTTAATTTTCGCTCTATACATTATCTCATCAATTCTAATAATCAGAAAAAAAGGGATACTTATTATGAAAAGATTATAAAACTTCCCATCCACCTCTCCAGAGAGAGAGAGAGATCTTTAAACAATTTTCCACAGTGGAAACTAACGTTTTTGGACAGCGCTTTGGTGGAGAAGAGCTTCAAAGATGAGTGAATGAAATAGCAAAATCGGTGAGCTGAAGTAAAAAATAAAAGGTCACAGATTAAGGAAACTCTCTCTTGGAACTCTTTAGATCTTCTTCTGAGGGAGCACGCAAGCCTTTATGTTGACGATGACCGTTGAAAAAGCAAAAGCACCTTCGGCTGATAGTGACACATACTCAAGGGAGAGAGAGAGAGAGAGAGAGGGAGAGAGAGAGGAGCCCAGGGTGATATGACTCAACCTGCCGTTCATGGTCGATGTCTTTGAGGCCTCGCTTTTATTGTTTTACTTATTTTTATCTCTCTAGGTTTCCTGTGTATAATAACTGAGTATATTCTTTTGTTGGTTGTTTAAGTTAATTAGATTACTGCGTGATTTCGAAAAGTAAAAATTGAAAAGACGACAAATTAACATTACTGTTTGAGAAGATTGAGATGATTATCAATAGTACAGTTTTTCATACCGCATTTATTTGATTAAGTGCCCAACCTCTTGTAAGCGCCCACCCTGTAGGTTGGAAAAGTTAATGAGCGCCCAGTCTCGAAAAAAGCGCCCATCCCCCCAGTTCCCCCTCCCCATAAACGAAAAAGCACCCATCCACCCAGTTCCCCCCCCCCCCCCCATAAAAAAGTGCACAAGACGGGTATTGAATAATTACTTCTTCCAAATCTCTAAATTCGTTGTTTATAGTACAAGATAACGTTTTGTTACTATCTATTATATTTTTGCGAAATAAACTTACTACTTGCGGAAAATAATGAAAATTTGAGAAGCGCCCAACTCAAATAAGCGGCCACTATCAAGCTCCAAACATTCAATTAGCGCCCAGGGCACTCAGTCGAATTAATGCGGTATGTATGCGTAGCGTTTGTTAAAGGACATGCGGAGGGCAATGTTTCGGTTTCCTCTAAAATTACATCAGTAAGGGCTCTTTAATATACCAGAAGCAGAACTTTCACGGAAAACGGGAAAAGATTGAACTTCATGCTGCGCGCTTTTAGTAGCTTGTGTATTAAAGCTGAAACAATCAGAGTATAACCCACGACGCGATATATGCTTTTTATCATATTTTCTACAGATGTTATTCGAGGATTATTAAAAAATGAGTAACGAAATCTACGCACAATGGTTACATTCCATACATTGATTTATTTTACTCCTCAAATATAATTAAAAGTTTACTTGCTTTTTTTGGATTATCGCATGCTTTGAATGACCTTTACATCGTCGCTGAAAATAATATCAACAGGAATTCAAGAATTTGGCTTACAACAAGAAATGATGATGAAAGGAGAGATAGAAGTTGAACTCGTTTATTCAAAATCAATTTCTGGGGGTCTATGTGACTGACCCAAGTGAGCTAAGATTCATAAAAAAGCATAAAACATGATATTATAAAGGTACAAAGAGGTTCAGAAGTATATATTTATGTTAAAAACTATCTTAATATTGTAACTTATATGCTAATGATGAAGGAGTTCTTAAAAATGTCTGTGTTATAAATTGGGCCGTTGAAGACTATCATTGCGCGTGGTTGTCAATGGTAATCAAGTAACTCAATCTCGGATGCATTAACTTGGCAATTTATTTCTGTTGTGAAAATGTCATTGAATAAGCTCTTACTCAGTTCATGACGCTTATCAACAATGAGGCCAAATATATGAACACTCAGAGTGTATTTTTTTTATTTTTGCTCATCATTTTTCGTCTGGGTCGAGATTATCATCTCTGCGGTGGACTTCCGCTCTAAGTGCCTCAGCGCCACGCCCAACCACCATTCGCATCCTCATTCGCCTTCTTCGTCCTCACACCTCTCTAGAAAAACCGTCACGAAAAGTACAAATAACTCTTTTTCGAGAAGGGTGCTGTTATGACTGATCAATGCTTTATGCTTATAGCACTTCTCTATATTTGCAAGTTTGACACGAGTTTTTAAAATTAAGATTTCACGACTGCGGTGCCCACGAACAGACGCCGACGGCGGTTTTAAAAATTTATTTTCGTTTCTTTTAGGAACTTTGCGAGTAGCTCGATGTGTGGACCTTTTCTAGCGACGCAAGATATCTGCTTCAACACATAAAACATGAAAATGCAACGTGGACTTCGAAGTAGAAACATAAATAATTTTCTGTCGGGGATCTCGCCTTTCTCGGACCCGCAATTTGATTTCACGTTGTTTACGCTGTTGTTTAATTTTAGGCAGAACAGCAAGGAAACGTACAAAGTTTTAAAACCTACGGCAACACTATCGTTCTGTTCATGACATTTTCTTTTTTCCGCTATTTTCTCGTTGCCGTCGCCTTCGTGGTTTTTTTAATTATCTTACTTAACAGCTATTATGCTTTCTCATTCGCGAAACAAAAAAAAAATTCCCTATTCCTGTTTTAAGCATTAGGATGTACGTAAAACACTTAACTTACTCTAACAATCTTAGCCCACGGACTTGTACTACCGGAATTTTTGTGTCATCAGTATTCTTTGAATTTCACAATCTTTTCATGTGATTTATAATCACTGTATCAAAGCTGGAAGCAAGTAGGACCTGAGTGCCATTTAAGGGCCGACTAATCTTTTATTTAACCGGATTAGAATATAAATCCAGACCCATCGGCACGGCATTTTATAGTTAGAGATATGTAAGCGGCAGAAAACAGAAAAATTGAACATTTCATCTTAATAGTTCGCTAGATTTTATACGATAAAGGTTGAATATTTTCTTTGATATTAAACCCAGATAGCGATATTACTACAGAATCTCACCGCAAATGATAAAACTGCATGATCCACGATCATTTATTTGGCGTCTTGTGACATTGAGAAAACATCTTTGCATTTTAGCGTAAAACATCATTTGAACCAATTTTAGGCCGTTCGTTTTAACTTTGAGCAACACGGATACAAATTTATGTTAAGATGGGTTGTGCAAAAATCGAAATCGCCAGCCTGAAAGCTAAAAAAATTATGCTGGTGCTGAAGGTTTTATGCTCACAGGAATTTTCAGTCGAGGATTTATTCAATTGTGCATTTACAGCAAGCTCCGCCCTCTCGATAATCGTAAGGAGCTTAATTCGATATAGTTTTAAATTGAAACACCCCCAAAAATATTTCGGATTGGTATGAGGTTGTTGCGACTCAAACACATTAATGGCTGAATGATGCTATACTTAGCTAAAACTGCAAGACCGTTGCTTTGATTTGATGTAGGTCCAAGTGTTGCCAAAAGCTTCGCTACGGGTAGAGCTTATGGTTGTCTTAGCAATAAAATACAGAACTATTCTTGAGAGACAACACAGATCTTTCGATGCGGGAACTGATAGTTAGGTACCTTAAGTATAGCAAGTCTGAGACGATTTTTTTTCCATTCGTAACACCTCACAGAAATCAAATAACAAATGCAAAACTTAAAAATGTATTTGTCTGCGAAAAGCCATTGAAGGCCCCTTGATCAAACGAATGAAAGTTACATTCCAGTCTATGAAAAGGAATCACACAAGTAACTCACTTGGCTGCGATGAAATCCTCTATACCTTTACCACTTCTAGGATACCGTGATTGGAAAATTTCGAGTACACTTTACCTCAAACACTCATTCAATATATTGTAAATTTGGTTCCATAAACCCATTAGAGTTTCCATGATCGTTTCATTTACAATTTGCGGGATATAATCCATGATGGTGCGCGTGATCTTGTCTATCTTTAGAGCTGTAAAAGTGATAGCGATCTTCATCAAATGTAACACGTAAAATGCATGGAGACGACAATATCGCTTATCATAATCCTTGTAAAAAAAATTAGGACAATGACATCCATGTCATACAAAGAAATATAACTCTAATTGGTGTTCTCAAAGGCTTGCGTTCAACCCGCGTCGTTATGTTTTTTTTTGTAGGGTGTAGTCTATGGATTCAATATTGCTTCACCACTTATAATTTCCTTCACTTTGTAAAATTCCATTTTTATCGACCTTCCAGACAACATATATAACTGGAACGTCTTACTTATAAAAAGTTAAACGTGGTTGGTGTTCACTTAAAAACTGATGGTCGAAATATTTGATTTTAGTAAAATATCATTATTGATTTCGTAACAGCCGCCTCGGCGAATACTGTTTTCACACTTCTCCTAGTACCCTACTCTCTGATTATCTGACACATTTGTTCTTCTCATTTTCTTTAGCATAGTTTACAGTTATAGCTTATAGCAGCGTCATAAATTGCTGATTCTATTCAAAACGCCAAAGATATTAGCGAACAATTAGGGGGCGGTTTTAAAACTCTTGTATAAACACTTCTGTTTCCCCGCCCATTGTGCTTACAAGTTAAGCTTGCACATGCGGTAATGTTAACTTTCCAAACGCAATAGGCTTTTGCTTCTTAACCATAATATCCGACCTTATGATTCGGGCCAAAGGCATGCTACATATTGCCACGGTTTTAATCGATAGTTTGACAGATCCAATTTGCTTTTTTTGATGACCCGATTTTTGGCGCGTAATTACATATTCCAAAGAGAGGCGCTAAACTTCTAAAACTGCAGATTTTCTCGAAATTCTTGTTCAATAATTATTTGATCTGCGCTTGGACAAGTTGCGGTTTGGCTAATCTTCCTAAGATTTCGCGGGCCAAATTAATGCTAGTTTCTCGGTTAGAAATGTTAATTTTTGAGTTCTACCACAATTCATTATTGTTTTTTTGTTGTCCCAAGAGGATACTTGCAAGTAAGCACAATGGCGCCAACTATTAGCCGTGACCAGAGAGTTTGCGAACGTGACTAAGTCGATGCCCTATTGAAATACATCAAAAAGTTATTTCCTTTGGCTGCAAGGAGGTTGTGTTCTTTAAGCGCTCAGGATCATTAAACGCCTTATAGAAAGCCTCTTTCCTCAATCTTGTCAATTCTCCGGTTTAAACGTTTGGCACAGTGCCGGTAATCAGGTGCGCATGACACCCCCCTGTTTCCAGCCCGATGTCAAACTACGAGCCAATGGCAAATGATCGGCTCACATGACCCGAACCGAAACGAGCGTCGCAATTGGTCGGAAGCATTTCGTAAGCCAACAACGAGTAGAAGGTTATTTGTGAAGATCTGATTTGCGTTTGCTTCGAAAATCGATTCATGGATGTATGTGGTTTGATTTACCCCTTGGAGCACTCAACCACTGTCTCTAATGGTGAAGCTACCGGACCGATAGCGTAGGATGAAATTCAAAGCATTAATTTGCTTGGTTTGCCTATACTATAGGATATGTTTAGGTAAGTGCGTTCGATGCGTATCTATGCGAATGTGTTCTTTCTGCCTGATGATATTGATTCGCTTGGCGGACAAAATTTCTATCTTGCTTGTGTCGATTCGCTTTTCATGTGACAAAAAATTTTCCTTTATACAAAGAAACACTCGTAGACCATTACCAGTTGAATTTGGATTCTTTTTTAGAGATCTTTAGTGCTTAAAAACTTGTAATTTACACCCGTAGTTGTCGTCCATTTTGAGCCATTATTGATTAGACATTGAAGTAAGTGCGGGGATTGTTAGATGGCTTCACCCACAGCTGCTTTTAGATGGCGATTTCATTTCTTGTCCTCCCCGAATTGATAGTTTAAAGATCTAAACACCAATTTGTATGCATGGGAAAACTGAAGAAGCCGCAAAGGGCGAATCGAAATTCTCCGAGTAACTTAATAATAACAACAACATTGCTCTCATAAATTCATTTGCACGTGGTATCTTAATATATTTTTGGTCGTTGTATGTTCAGGATACCTGCTTAGGATGAAAGAATGCTGCAGGATGAGAGTAAAAGCTCTGTATGAGACATCGTTGAGTATAATTTTCCTAGCGTGAGGGAATTAAACTCGTAGATTTATGTTTCAAGTGTTGGCAGAATACCTGTTCTCCCCACGCGAGATCCGATCGCTCTGAGTTTGGTTTGGTATGCAGCATTTTAGGCAAAGTTTAAATTCATCTTTACCTTAACCCTCGCACTACAATTCGAACTGATTCAAATGATTGAGATACTCTTTAATCAGAGAAGATCAAGAATAAAGTACGCAATGTTACACATTTGATTTAATGACCCGAAGCTAGCTTCTGGCTACGTGCGTCTTGCATGAAAAGTTGTAGTCTTTTATTATCATGTTTATTTACAGAACATTTAGCAAATCCTCGGAGAACATCGGAGATGAATTACTACAGAGTAATGACGCCCGTTGAAAGCGATATGTTTAACTTATGTTTCTTCAGGTGTAAACCCTTTGGCCGTTACGTTGAAAATAAAATATTCCCGGACATTTCCTTTCGCTAAACGGAGTTATTAACTCGATTATCCTCGACTGATCTTTAAGAAATTGCTTGTGACGAATCAGGTATTTTACTCTTTAGTTCTAGTTTCGTGCCAGCAACTCTTCTAATCCAATTCTTTATTTTCCACAGCGACTTCTCCAAGGATTTTATACGCAAACCGGAGAGACATCAGAATAGTACGACCAAATCAAAAGAACCAAAATGAAACTATCGTAGCTGTTGGTCTTTTGAATGCTATCGCTGTAGATTTCAGCTACGAAGATGGATACATATTTTGGACGGATGTCAACGATGAGAAAATCAAACGAATTCGTATGACGGAAAGTTCTAACTCAAGAAAAGTTGAAGATGTTATATCTTTGGGTTTGAAAAAGCCCGAAGGATTAGCCGTAGATTGGGTAGGAAAAAAGTTGTATTGGACTAATTGTGGAGATTCTGACTGGGAAACAAACAGAATCGAAGTTGCAAATTTTGATGGATCCTATCGCAAAGTTCTTTTCTGGAAAGACTTGGGTCTTCCAAGGGCGATTGCAGTGGATCCACTCAAAGGGTAAGTAGAAGACTTTGTGTTATTTTGTTGCACTCAATAGCTGCAGTTTATTTTGTGCTGAGTTTGAGAAAAATCGTCAGCAATTTGTCTACAACGAAGGTTTTGCTTGGCTTTGGGAGAACTTGTTATTTTGGATTGTGATATTTTATAAATAGCTTGCTTTTTTAGAGTTAGTGCTTCTTTTTTAGTTTGACGAGGAAAGACTAATGAACTATGCTCAATTAAAAATACATTAAGCGTTGAACTTCGGCGGGCAAACAGTTATCTATCATTTTTTTTCGTTAGCCTGCTTTTAGCGAACCTTGAATGTCTCTCGAAGCAATCTCTTAAGTGATGAATATGCCACAAAGAATTTGTTGCATGCATCCAGTATTTGAACTCAATACCATTTTCAAAGAAAGCTTGTGAATCTTACTGGAATCTAAGCTTTCTTTGTTATTGTAGCCCCCTGTTGAAATTCACTGAGTAAAGCCGGAGAATGTCATTTTTTAGAGAAAGAATCAATCTGAGAGATCCACTCAGAGAAGATATTTTATTTGTGATTTTTTTTTTTCTAGCTGAAAGATTCTCTTGTTTGTCAAAAATACAGTAGTTGTGGAATGAGTTAACATTTTGAAATTGTGGACTTAATTAGTACTTTAGTGTTCATTGTCCTCTGAAGCAAGTTTTATTTTTCTCTGTGTTGTTAATGAGGGGCTGGTCTTCTGTAAAAATCCTGAGCATAAGTGAAGGGCTTGGGTTTTTGTTGAAAATCTGTCGATGTGCAATATCTATTCTTGAATAATCTATGGTCTCATATAAAGAGAGCTTTGAAGAAGGCTTTGTTAATGGCCTTGGACAATAGTTCAGCCTAATGTTTCATTTGACCTTTTCTTTAATTGTGGCCCAATGAATGTTTTACTAATTATCCATTGTTTTATGGGATTTTTTAACACTGTGTAATAACATAGTGTAAATTTGGTCTTGTGAATTAGTACAGAGTTGAGGAAATTTTATTGCTGTTCTACATGTCTTTTGATGAATAGCAGTCTTCAGCAGTTGAAGTTAAATTCAAAGGAAGTTTAACGCTTGTTTTTCAAGATTTCTTGTGAGGAAATTTAAATTGACAATCTATCTTTGAGTTAAATTATAACCCTTTCTTCACTTTCTATCCTTGCAGTTTGTTAAGGCTTGTTGGTTTAATGTTTATATCTTCTTCACAAAATCTTAGGCTGTTGTAAATGGCTATTTGTGTTACTTTTTTGTCTTGGTGTGCCTCATTTTAGTGGTGTTTTAAAGTTCCATGTAATATCTTGTTGCCAGTATCACAGAGAGGATTACATTCCTTTTAAAATATTTGTTAAAAATTCAATCACAGCATTTAACTTGGGATACCTTCTTTTAAAGGATCTGTCAACTTTTGAGAATAAATAAATTATGTGAGAAGTGGAGGACATATTTTAGGTATTGGAAAAGATTGCGTGAACTCTGATCAGAGCAAATAGCTTAATTGAGAGCAAAGCTTGATTAGGCTGTTATCTGATTAAGAGATTTTAAGTCAGGGTATGTTTTTAAATTTTGTTTTTCCTGGGGGATGTTACAATTCTTTTCTCTTAATCCCCTAAAGGAAAATTGACGGTCTGGTAGATTTTCTCTACTTGAGGAAGGAAGAAGGAAATACTAAGCTCTGCCTTGTTTGTGTGGCCTTGAGTTTAACCTTCCAGACCAATGTGTTATACTTATCCTGTTTCACATCAAGATGATTTCTAATTTCTTCATAGTGTGATGATTTGCAATTTTTTTTTCCTTGTGACAGTCTATATTTCAGCAAGTGTAGGTGTTTTACGAAGCTCTACATTCCTTTCTCATTTGCAAAATGTTTCAAAATAATTGTAGTCTTCTTTCAATTAGAGACTGTACTTCCCCTCATGGAATAAAATTATTGGTTCCTGAACTATGAAAAATTTAAGCTATACTGGTTCTTGATTGATTATTGCTAACATTTTTCCTGTAAAATTAGGTTCCCTTACACATGAGAAGAACACATTTATTGTACTCAGCATTAATGTTATGTAAGAGTATCTTTTTTTAAGTGTGCATTTAAAGCTAAAGATCTTCGTTATTTCCTATTTTGCGAGTTTACTTTTTCTCCTTTACCATAAGAATAGTAATGTTGTTTATTGTAATTATACCAAAATGCTGGTCACTTTAAAAGAGATGGTTGTTTCAGTTAAGTTTGAGTTACTTATGGATATTGAAAGATGTTGACTCAGATGTATGCCAAGTAAATTCTCAAACAAATGAACACTGTTACAGAGAATAGGCTTTTGAGTTTATGGCCAATGGCTTTTTTAAATTATTGACCATTTCTAAAAAAATATGGGCCATTGCTGTATTTGATTGGGCTAGAAGAAAAGAAACATGGGTATTTTGTTAGTGATGTGATTTTTGTTAGCATGTTTTAATTATGCAGTATCTTGCAGTTAACAATGCAATGAAAAAGTTTCATTTATGTGTTACTTAAATCAAACCATGCAGTTTCATCCAGGTGTCACTTAAATCAAACAAACTGGAAAGCTGTTTACTTCAAGTGAAGAGTAATCAGTGCACTATACAGTACTTGTGAAGGTGTTTTTGTCCTTCATCTATTAAAACAATCATGTCTTTTTTAAGGTAAACTTATGGATGTGCTGACTCAATCTGGGCATTAAATAAATTGCTGGACTTAAAGATTAGAAGTAACAAAACTAGTGATAAAAATTTTGGCTAATGATAAATCACTCAGGTTAAATTATGGATTTTGAATCTTACTCCTTGAATCAACTTAACTTTGACCCTAACATTGCCTTGGGAATTTAACTGGAAAGATCTCTATGGGGGCGGATTTCTGAGAGCCAGCAATATAATTGTCTAGTACACTACTAGAAAATTATGGCTGCTGAAAGGTCAAATGATTTCAAAGAACTTCATTTGGGGGCTGAATCCAACATGGTGCACAGCCCTCTCATTCTTTGCTATTAAAGAAGAAAGTGTACTTAAGGCATTTAATACCAAATCGAGAGTAACAAAAACAGATCTCTATAAAGAAAATAAATGATTTCAAATTGAAGGACTCGTTGATTTTTTTACCTCACCTGAAGTGTAATCACAGTAGATGACGCTTGTTAGAATTAAAATAATGTTAAAAGTTTCTAACAAATTGTTTTCTCTCAAATCATAATTCCAGGTTCATGTTTTGGACAGATTGGGGTGAAGAACCCAAGATAGAGAGAGCTGAAATGGATGGCTCTAATCGTTCTGTAATTGTCAGACAAGACATTCATTGGCCCAATGGGCTCACAATAGACTACAGTGCAGAGAAAATTTACTGGACAGATGCAAAATTGTTTTATATAGCTAAAGCTAATTTTGATGGTTCAAACCGGGAGAGAATATTTAAAACTCCAAGTCAATGTATTTTGGCAAATCAAGCTCATCCATTTGCTTTGACATTATATGAAAACAAAATTTATTGGACAGATTGGACTACTAGAGGGATACATTCTGCAAATAAAAACAGTGGGATGCGGTGTCAAATGGTCTGGTCAACTACTTATGTACCCATGGATATACATGCATATGAACCAAAAAAACAGTTGCCAAGGCCAGGTAAGTGGAAGTAATAAATGGTTATTGATTGTCTTGCAGTGTTCTTCGCTATTTTAAGCACGACAGATAAGATAAATTTTCAAGCTGGTAAAGGAACCCTTTTAACCTTTGAATTCTCTAAGAATGCTACAGGATTTTAGGCAGTAATACAAGGTAGTGCTACAGGCAGTAAATTTTATCGGTTACCGCCTTAATAAGGAGAACACTGCATACAAGTTAGTCAGTCACATGATAACAAGTGTGATGTGTTGACTGCTGTGTGTTGATCTCCATTTGTTGATTAGTTAGACTGCTTAGGCTTCATCACATGAAGGGAATGCCCTGATGGTCAATTTGATGATTGCTGCTACAGTGATTCATTGTGGAACTTCTAAAACTGCTTTTATTGAAAACACTCTTCCTGACTGTGTCATCAGTTTTGAACAAGCCTGGAAATTTTTTACACTTTGAAATTGTATTTTCCACTCTCAGATCTGATTTGTAGTTTCCCTTACTGTCCACCATGTAATCTTTATCATTTTATGTTTTGGTATTGGAATAACTAATAATCCCCTTATTTATATTTTTCCTTGTTCTTATCATTTATCTGCTTGATATTGTGTCAACATTACAAAGAGAAATTCTGTCTCGGTCACTCTTGAAAGTTAAAAGGTTAGATAGGCATTCCATGAGCTGTGCATAAATCTTCAAGCAAGGTGTACAAATTTCTTTGATTTTATTTCAATAATTGGTTGATATATTTATAACGAGTTATTAGAAAAATGAAGTGAAAGTGGCTGGCTAAAAGATACATTTCTAAATGGGGTAAGTTTCTAAAGAAACTGTGGTGCTGCATTGGTGGGAGGGTATAACAGGCTGACCAAGTGTTATCAACTCAGTTGATCAGTTGATAACACTTAATAACCCAAAAGATACATGTAGCTGAGTTGGGTGGGGGGGGGGGGGGGGGTGTTTCGGTGAGCCATTGGCTTTTATTGATAGCTCTTGTCATTGTTTTTCTTTAAACCTCTTGTGCAATGATAAAAAGAAATGCTAAATTGTGACCCTGGCTTATTTTTGACAAGTTGTTGACTTATCTTTTAACAGGTCAAAATCCTTGCAATTCTACTCTCAATGGAGGGTGCACCCATCTTTGTCTGTTGAATACGCATGGTCGCTCTTGTGCGTGCCCAACTGGTGTGAAGCTTTTGTCTGATGGAAGAACATGTGAAAAAGGTATGATTGAGTGTGCAATGTTATGAATAACTGCTAATAGTGTGTGTACTGATTGTATTTGGGCTTTGTTTGAAATGTGACTCCAGTTATGAAATACATTTAAAACATTCTGTATGCTGGATGTGCATAATTAGAATATTATTTGTGGGGTATTTTAAGGGAGAGACACAACTTGTTAAAACAATTGAAAATCTCTGCTGCTGCTACTGAATTATGTCACTGAGTTCGGTGTGTGAATTCAGACTGGTTTGAATCTGTGCAACTGATGGCAGTGACAAATTCTCCATGTCACTTGAGGCAAATTGTGTTTGTGACTTGCCTTAGAGCAACACAAACTCTCTGGGTGCTAAATGTGCCTATACATTCTCTGTAAAATTTTTAATTTTTAACAATGTGTGCCTGGGAGAATCTTAAATGTATCAATGTAATGTAGTATTTCGTAATTAGTGTTAGTGAGTAGCGTAAGCGTTAGTGTAATTAATTTTGTATTTGTTTGTATTACTCTAGTATTTGTGCTTCAAGTGAAAATAAAAAAAAATGTTAAAAAAAAGAAAAAATGTATCAAGCTAAAAATGTGGGAGAAGGATAGATATGTGCTACATTTTGATTATTCAATACCCACCTTTTTGTAGTCTGGTAAGGAAACAAAAAGCTTGTGCTAATGAGCAGAATCATGTTTGCAAAGATTCCTCTATCACTGAATGTACACTATTTAATAGATGGGTAGATACATGGAAAAAATCACTTAAGGCATACTTTCTTGATGTGATTACAGTACTGTTGTTCTCATTAGTATCTTATGTGAAAATGTATAGCCATTGGAATGAAGAACTAGTAGTTGATTTCAAGGTTGACCTGTGAAATGAGATATACTCCAACAACTGTATTTGGTTGTAGTAATATCCAGTAATAAGCTCATTCATAAAGTTTGGCTTTTTTATCTTAGGTCCTTTCCATTTTCTATTGCTGGCAAGAAAAGGGGACCTGCGGCGTATATCACTTGATACACCTGATCTCACAGATGTTGTTTTACCAGTGTTGGGAATCAGTCATGCAGTTGCAATCGATTTTGATCCAGTGGATAGATATGTTTACTGGAGTGATGATAAAAAACTTGAGATTAAAAGATGCCGGTTGAATGGAGAAGGTTAGCCAACCTTGAACTTGAATACACTAATTATGTTAACTGATTTTGGCGAATTTATAGTAACTTAACAAAAGTTCTGTCAAGTTTCTTCAACAGTTTTTCTGGTACCATCTATATTGCTGAATGGAAAGAGTAAACTGCACTTCAGTCACCAGAAATTATCCTGCTTGGCATGGGATCCAAAACAGTTCTATTGAGTACTAACCAACATGAGGGCCAGTCTGGATGTTAATCTTTATTCTGAACTGTTTTCTGTCTTTTTCTTTGTATTTCAGATGTTCAGGTAGTAGTAAGGAG